TTTTTTCCAAAATTTTGAATAATTGCTTTGTTTATTCAAACAAAAATTTCAAGTTTAAATTGTGTGATATTTTTCATCGTATTGCTTTTGGGAACCCCACCCCAACGTTTTATTCAAATTTACTTTCTTTGTTCAAAAATTTTATTTTTTTTTTAAATTTCATTAAAAGTTAGTCATCTGTTTGAGATTTTTTATACGGTTACGTCATAAGTAAATTTCTTGCTGAATTTTTGTTAGTCTTGCTTCCATTAAATTTTCATTATCAAACTTAACCTTGTTAGTTACGTAACTAAATATGTGTAAATTAAATCGTGTATATTAATAATAAATTTCATGTTGTTTAGAGTTTGCAAATGCTTTTTTTTCCACTACTACTTTACATAAGTTAAATAAATCTTACGATTTTTCTATTTGTATTATAATTTTATATTTTTTATCATATTTTGTATAACCGGTCTGTTTCATTCTTTTGTTTTCGCTTTTTTTGTTTGTTTGTTTTATTTTTGTTTCGTTTTGTTCTCTTGTTATTTTGGTTTATTTTTAGTATTTCTTTGACACTTTTTTGTTGTTGTTCTTGTAGTTTACTTTGTTTTAGTTAATATTTCAATTTGTTTTAATACTTTTTTTTCGTACAATTAGATAAGGCAACGTCATTTGTTCTGTTTTTGTAAACATTTTTTTGTTGTTGTTGTTTGATCTGAATTCTTATTGATCGGAATATATGAATTTTGAAATTTCTTTTTTTTCCATTGAATTTATTAATTCTCATCGAATTGTTTTGTAAACTGCATTTTGGGCTATTGCTTGGTGAGTGTGTGTGTGTCTGTCTGTCTGTCTGTATGTGTGCGTTTGTTTGGTGTGTTTGAGAGCGTTTGTTGTTGTTGTTGTTGTTGTTGCGTTAATCGGATTTTGCTTATGCCGCCAGACACTTGTACAATTTCTTTCATTTTTAGTATTTTTGTTATAATTTTTGAAAATTTCTTCTTGTTGTTGTTTTTAATTTTTGCCTTAAACAAAATTATTTGTAATTTCCATTGCCAAAGACGTAAATTTTGACTCCTAAAAACAACGAAACATTTTTCATTTATGCTTTTCGCTTTTGCCATTTTTTATTTGGCCAAAATTTTGCTTTAAATTTGCTTTAATTGCAAAATTTCCTTATTTTTTTTTTTTTGCTTAATTTTTGACGTCGAAATATTTTCATTTTTGTTTTGTAATTTACATTTAATTGATTTTTTTTTAGTAAATTACTTTAAGTTTAGAAAATTGCATAATTTTGTATTTTGTTTGTATGTATATCATAGTTTGTTGTGGATAACTGTCAATTTTGTGGCCGAAAAATGAATGCAGTTTATTGCGAGTTGTGAGTTTTTTGGTAAATTGGAGGGAAATTGAGAAATGAAAAAGATAAATAAACTAAAGTATTAAACTAATAAGTGAAAATACAAAAAAAAATTATTAATAAATTACTTAAGACGAATCCAACCGGCGTGTATGGAAAGAGTTTGAAAGCAAATATGAGAAATATTAAAATACATATATTTTAAGAAAACAATTAATTAATTACAGCAGCCAGAAGTGAAACTTAACTTCAAATTATCAACAATTTAAGACTAAAACTAAATTAAAAAATAAAGATGTAAAAATAAATAAAAAAAATGTATTGCATTAAAAAATTAAAATAAATTATATTCGATCTGAAATTCTAAAAACAATAAACCTTACTTAGAGAGAATTTTTTGGCTCCCAAAATTGCACATCTAAATTAACCGGGGCACTGCAGTATATTTCAAACTGAAGTCGTTGCTATTGCGAAAGCCGTTTTGGCATGACTACACTGTAAGCATCTGGGGTMYCCACGGTATGATACACTGGAGAAGGTATCGATAGTGAGWGCACAGAGTCTGTTGAAATTCGCGTCGCCATTTCGTTCGCATTGGTTGAAGGCAGTACTGTGATGGTTGGCCCACTGGGTATCTTCGACTTCAACTGTGCTATGAGAGAAGGGTGAATTTGACGTTAAAGCCTTAGGAAATCTACCTGCCTCAGAAAATATAGCTCAGGCAAATGACATCGTGGTAAATACAAAGGCAAGTAAGCCTAAACCTGCCAAGGATAAAATTGAGCAGAAGAGAGAGATAGTGTTTTTAAATTCTGTACTAACGCTACTCTTAAGAAAATATCTCTTTACACAAATATAACGATGTTGGTTCTGACTTAACTACGTAGATAATGTGAGTATGTAGTTTGGCACGGAGAAAAGTGGTTGTTAGGAAGCAAAGTGTATGCTGCATTGGCACACTGAGTAGTTTAGGCTTCAACAGGAATATGAAAGATAAAAAAAAAAACTTGGCTAAAATCCTTTAGAAATGCAGACACCTCAGAAAACAATATTCAGGAATAATCAATGTTGTTAAATTGTATAGAAAAAAGGACCAAGTGTAGATCTGCGTTAATAAAATTCATTGGTATTTTCTAGAAACAAACTATTCAGCGCGATATAACTTCAAATAACTGTCTTCGCACGTTGGGGAAACKTCCATTTAAGTAGGCATCGCGATAGTGTATAGAATAATGATGAAAACTGGTTGTTGATTACGTGAACTCGAATTCAGAATATAAGTATGACTATGGCGGGGTCCGACTTAGGATTACTTGTCACTAGACTTAGCACCTCACAGATTGCACTGCCTTGGAATCGTCTACAGGTGGGTTTAAATATTTTGAACAAGCTTGAATAAACAATCAGCTTTGCAGCTAAATTGCTCATACCTTTAGCTGTTGCCATTTAGGGAAACAATCGAAAATTGATATTTTTGTATACCTATTAAATTTCGCATATCATTTGCTCTTGGGACAGACCGTCTGTATTTCATGTTTCAGTTGTCTAGATATTTTAGGGATTTTAGATACCAATAAGGTCTACAACCACGGTATCCAGTACTCTAAAAATAATAGTACTCAAGAAATCTAAAAGAAAATTTGTCACATACGTGCTAAGCGGTTTATGCGGTTTTTGAGATATTCTGATAACAAATTTGAGTWCAAAAATTTTCTATCACGTACAGCATTTATTCATTTTAGTAAATGATGGTGGTTTGACTCCTACAGTTTTCGACTACAACACAAAAAAATATTCGGGTTAGAAAATTTTGCCTGTCATTTCCGGTTTTAGCAACCCAAGATTAGCAAGTAAGACCCTCTAACATGCATATCTTGTGTTAATTTTGGGACACCCTTTACAAAGGCAATTTTATAAGTAACAAAGTGAAAAATTCAGAAATACTTTCCTTCTGGCACAGGTATAATATACTTCTTAGTCGAATGATAGTTAATTTTAAGCATTTTCCAACAGTTATAATTMACTATTTTCTATYCTTMAGTTAGGTTAGGTTAATATGGTRGGCCAATTAGACACGCATAGACCAGTTTGGTCCTTTGCRATACCAGATGRAGTTCGGTTGCTAAGACCAAGATGCGAATTTTAAYAGACTTTGGGGCCTCACTATCRAAACCCGATGGAACGAGCTACTCGGGGGAAAACTGGAAGTCATGTGCAAAACGGAAACTAMAGGAAATATCTCGAGCAAGGCACCAGGGAAACCATGCAGCAACTCTTGTTAAATTTTCTCRAATTAGTAAGACTACACTGTAAGCATCTTCTGTCCCTAACCTCACTTTTTAATGTTGGTTTGAAATGAGAGTAAATAAAAAAATTAATTTTTGTCAATTTAAGTAAAGGAAATATT